TGGGGACATATTTGGGGATGTACTTAGTAGATATTCATGTATATCAAAGAATATCAATGGGATATATCCGCAGATTTTTGATGATATGGATATATAATGATATATATATATATATATTTATATTTATTTTTACCTGGAAAATCCACATGGACACGTGATTCCAGTGACAACCGTCACTCACCAAAATTGACATGGCTCAATGATCCTTCTATTGACCTTCTGGGAGGGACCAGCGGCCAAATCCGTTGTAAATGCATTAGCTGCTAACAACAGATATTGAGAGCTGGGAACTGCGGGAACCGATTCAGATATGTATTTTATATTATACGTATACATATAAATATATATGTATATAATGCATATATTCGTTTTTTGGTAGTGTATGAAAACTTCTGATAACATATGAAAACATGTGAACACACATGATGTCTCCTCTGTACATATTTGGGAGATTATACTAGTCTTAAGTGCCCCAGTCTGCATTCAGATGGGCCATCATCCCTGAAGATCCTGAAGATAAATTGCCTGTAGGAACGGTAGATATTAGTGCCGTAGATGTTGGAAAATCATGAGGAAATATCATGAAAAATCCATCCACAGTTTGTTGAATGGGAGATCTTCAGGATCCAATTGATGGAGGTACGTGTTTACGTACCATATTTTTGGGCATATTTTCTAGGGATATTCCCTTACATAGGCCTTAAATTTATAGGCCTTATATATGGAATCGGTACCTCCAATCAATCGGTTCCTGTTGCATGGCCATTGATTTGTCCCTTGAGTCCAATCCGCCATAAAGCCCTAGTTTTTCCAGTGGCGAAGTTCGCAGGACAGCAGAACTTCGCCGAGCTTTTGGGTTCCGTGGCGAAATCCGTTCATCCGTGGATTTGCGCAACATCTCTGGGTTTATAGAGGATGGGGCCCCTGGTTCCACCATTAACTATATCCGTAGTTCTATATCTACCATAAACCATAGAATTCAGCCACGGCCGTATGTCAACTGAACGCTACTTCTCTCTTTCCACTTAGTAAGTGATTAGTAAGCCTGCTTAGTAAATTCCCATATAGCGTGGGTTATCCCATATAGATAATATATATATATATAGATAGGTAGCCATCTCACTTATAATTCATCTATATTGATCGCTTACTAAGCAGGCTTACTTAACAACTAGTAAGTCTCCATTCAGCAGGTTATCCCATATAATTGGATGGGTAGAAACTAACCCTCAAAACTGCGCAGATTTCTAGGTCAATCGACTGGATAGGTATGGGATTATCTACGTTCACCAGCTAAGAATTTATTTGTTTGAAGAGTATCCAAGATTGGCCATGTATAGATGAGTTATAAGTATGGCTACTAACCACTGAACCGATCCGTGGTCGTTAATTTACATGGACATCACAAAGAGAACCGATAAAACCGCTGGGAAAATTGTGTATTCAACCTCAATTGTGTATCATACCCAAATAAATGACTGTGTATGTCTGAATGATTTGGGTTGGCAGTGTCATTCATATCTCATTGAACCCATTGAAGAAACGGAGCTACAACCAGCCACGCTGGCCAGACATCACGGCTAGTTTGGTTCATCCATGGGGAAAAGTTGCGGGTTATATAACCTCTATATTGTGACCAGATTGGTATAATGGATGATTGTGACCTCTATAATATATTCGTCAGTTGGGATGATTATTCCCAATATATGGAAAAATAAAAAATGTTCCAAACGACCAATCAGTAATATATTAAATATATGTGGTGCCCCCCAAACGTGATGTGAATGTTGATTTATAAACCCCATGAATACTAGTTCGTTATTTGCGTATAATAAACTATAGTTATTGGAGTTATGTGAACCCCAACTTAGCTATCGAACGGGGGCCTCACATTGTATAATATCTTACTTTCTGTGACAGAGCCAATTGATTGGTCATGTTTCAAATATTGGAATGATCCAAACCAAATTGACTTTCTTCCATCAGTAATTTGATTGCATTAATGTTGAAGATCTAAAACTTAACCAAGTCTTAAAGTCTTACAGGGTATCCAGGGTCAGCCACGGATTAAAAGGTTGGAAAGTAGTGTCAATCCTGAATTAATAAATTCGGGCACATTACATGGTTCTTGGTTACCCTAAAGAGTATGTTTGATTGTTTTTGTGTAGGTGTATAATGTTGTACTATGTTTTTTTTGGACAACCTTGACAACTATAATGGTAACCAAACCACATGGGACTTGAAGGTGGTTTTCCAATTCTTCGTTTATCAAATTTGGACTCCACATTGAATCCCACGGGTCCTCATGAATAACATACACCAAGCAATAAACAATCCATTACAGCGGATGAAAAATGCCTCCAATCACTTTTCATCCGTTAACACGGAACTACTATGACGTACTTTGGCTTGAGTATCTATAGCGACCTCACAGCAATTCACAGTAGATGATGGTCTACGCATGAAATATGTTTTGTCTCTAATTCGGGAGTTAAATATTCAACTTAATTGTCAGAGTTTTCTTCGACTATTTTTCGGAAAAGTCAAGAAAATCAACAGGTGGAACCCCGAGTTTAATCAATAGGTATTTTCTCATGGGGCTTCTCCACGAGTTGGGATGATAGGAATGACCCTGAAGTTCGGAAGTGAAGTGAATTATGGCGCAAAATCCTCACCAAGAAGCGAAGGTTTCTACATGTGGGTATGGGTCAAAATTAGGTACCCCAATAATTGGATGGTTAATACTAAACTAGACTAACATCTGTGGTCCCCTAGGTCTTCCATTTTGACCCACATCCATGTTTACACACCAAGCAATGCCAAATGCAAGAAACTCTGTGGTTCCAATTGCTTCCGATTTCAAGCAATGTCAGAACTACTCCTGACCAACTTTTTGTTATGCATAGTCCGGCGGGCGACTTCCCCATTTCTTTTGGTGGTTAAAAATGAAATTGGCTTAACCTGCGTTAAGGCCAATTGAGAACATGGTTTGGCATGGTATGTATCTAAGAAATACTGATGTTAGTATTTCCCCTAAAAAAACTGACATGTCTTTGGAGGACATACAAGGTGTCCCCAAAAGATAGCCAAGTTGACGCAAAAATTGGCATACTGTCGGACTTATGGAGGATATGTTTGTGTAGTTGCCATATTCTCCATGGTGCTGGAAGATGAATCCCAACAGCCCTTGTCCAAAATCACCAGTTTTGTAGGTAAATATACAACTGGTTGGTGGTTTGGAACATTTGTTTATTTTTGCATATATTGGGAATGTCATGATCCCAACTGAAATATTTTTCAGAGGGGTAGGGCTCAACCACCAACCAGCCAGTTATGTAGGTAAATATACCAGCACCATGAAGCATATATCATAGAATTGGATTATGGGAAAATTTACAGGAAAGCCCTATATTTGATGGTAAAAACCATGGTTTCCTGTAGATTTTCCCTTAAACCAATCCAGTGAATAAAAGGTATAAACCAACAAAGAAATCCTTTGGTCCTTGATTCTTGATCGAGTCGGAACATGTTTGGATGCCGCGGGCTTAGGTCCCAACTGCGTCATCAAACGCGTGGACAAGAACCAGAAGGTAGACCACCTTTTGTGCGTAATAACCAATCAAGGCATATCAAGATGTGTAAACAGGGTGTATTTATTGAATTATTCTATATTATTCTATAATTAGTCATTGTTAATACATATAGAATATATATATGCATATATCATATATATATATATATATGTTATATATATATGTATACACACTATGGTTCCATATGGAGAGATGAACATCCAGAATTTTATCACCATTCTGATGTTACGGGGCGGGTGCCATGACCTGGTATAGCTACTGACAATCAAGCATTTTCACAGGCACGTGGCTGGGTAAACCTTGGTATTTCTTTGTGGGTTCGGGCGTTGTTCGCAAAAACATCCAGCTAATATCTGATATTTACAGTATGTGATTTTTCCGTGTATATAGAATAGATTCAAAAAAGAATCCAATAAACATTAAACATCCGGAAATATAGGGCATTGATGGGCATATTTGATCCGTCCTTCCTGTCATTGGGTTGATTGCAGCTGATTTATTGCCGAATAAACGTTGTTTTCCATCATCCAAAGTAGCTTTTCAAACAACTTCACGGATCGTAGAAAGGCATCACTGATCATTCCGGTTCATAAGTCCCCTAAGTGGGCAACCCCCTTGATAGCTGCGGAATAACCCCACGGCCCCACTGACCAGTTGAATGTGGTTGCAAGTCGGGGGCCGATCCTCCAGTCGTGGTGCTTTCTGAAACGGGTGCCCGCAATGAAGGCTTACAGCTTGGATTGACAATCTTTTGAAGCCCCAACATGGGGTATATATCCAGATTTTCTGTCAGATTGTTGTGGGAAAATGATTCGAATATTCATCAAAGCATCATGTCGGGCCTATTTGCAGACAAACCTATTCGAATATCCAGCTAGAAATGATTGAAACATATCCCATGACGGATCCATGGTGCTGCTATATATGGTGTGCCATGGATCCCATCAATATACCCCAGTCATGTTAGCATATATACCAGCACCATGGATCCTATGGGTATTGAAACCACAACTTGCAGGTGGTTTTGAGACTTCAAGCCTTCAAGCAGCAAAAAAGCCGACAATTTTGCAGGTCAGGTTGGGCAGCCATGGATCAAAGGGTACACTACGAAATCTATGCCTTGGGCCTGCAAAACGGATGTGACGCTCCCCGTCCAACAAAAACAGCTCCATTTAAACATATGAATGGCTCAAAATAATTGCGCAATAAGCACTCCAAGTCCAAGTCCAAGTGTGCAACCTTTTGAAAGTCTTAAGGTACCCATTGCCGGTGAAACTTGTGATGTCTTTCCTCTCTCTGATTTCTTGAAAGGCAGCAGCCTCCCCTGAAAACTGACAGATGCAGTCCATTTGCCCTCCGGGCATCCCCAGCAAGCACCCATCTACTCCATTTTTTCCGGGGCCATTGCGCCGCAAAAGAACCGTGCCGGGCCGGGATTTGGCAATTTCCGAACTCAGCGCGCAACAAAGTTGTGCGACGCTGGTGATGCGACATGGATTCCGACACAGATGATGATACTTCGATGCATTGGCCCCCTGTGAGCTGACGGAATTGACTAGTGACTAGTGGTTTCACAGAAGACTTGTTGCCATTACCAACCGGAGATACAGATGATTCCAATTGAATTATACAATACTCTCTCCTTTAACATAGACTAACATAGACTAACACAGATGTGGAAAACCCCAGATGTGTTGTTTCTCGGAGCTTTAGCCCTTAAAATGTGTTTCAGGGTGTATAACTGGTCGTTAAGTAGGTTAGTTCGCCCCAGTTATAAGTGGGATAAGTGGGTGGGATAGTTAGTCCACTTATAACTTATAACTGGGGTGAATGAACTAACCTAAAATCTATGGGATGAACCACCAAGTAGGTTTAAGGACCTCAGGACCTTCAGACTTCTCCACTTTGTTCGAGGGCCAATCTTCACCAGCTATCATTGGGTCTCCGAAGCCGGCGCCAGGGTGGTCATGTTGGGCTGTTGATACCACAGGATGGTGGTCATGTTGGTGATAGGTTGGTGTATAATCCCCATGAATACTACAATGTGAGGCCCCCAAGATAGCTAAGTTGGTTAAGAACTCCAATAACTATGGAATATTATACTTATAACTATAGTTATTGGGGTTTGTAAACCAACTTATATCTGGGGGGTCACCACATTGTAGTTTTATATCTACCATGAACCATGGTGGCACGAAGTAGCCGTTCATGAGAGTCCTGAGCATGACCTTGCTTGCCGCCCACAAAGAACTAGAGGTAAACTAACATGGGTATGGGTCAAAACCTAATATTCCTTAAATGGTGGTACCCCAATAGCTGGATGGTTTATGATGGATGATCCTATTAAAATTGATGATTTAGGGGTACCACCCATTTTGTCGGAAATCCCCATCTGACTGGGTGTTTTTTTCCATCCATCAACCAGCTTTCTTCATACCATGAAGGTGCCACGGTCTGGACTCACAGCCACATAGATTCTATACAAAACCAGTGGCTCCCCTATAGGAGAAGTATCATAAAAATTATCGGATGGTGCCCCCTAGTTACAGGTTACCCAGGTTGGTTGCTCCAAAAAAATCCCCATGAAAACTATTTCCCCTAGTGATGTTGGTTGCTTCAAAAGATCCCCATTCACTATTTTTAGATCTACCATAAAGCCTAGAATGTGGGCCCCCCCAGTTATAAGTTGATTTATAAACCCCATTAACCAGTTCGTTATTTGCGTATCATATTGCATAGTTATTGGAGTTATGTGAACCCCAACTTTTTCGCGTTCTCGATTTCACGAGGGCCAAAAAAGTTGTAGAATTCACCTTAGAATCCATGGCCCACAATGTGGTGCCCCCCAGTGATGTTTGTTGGTTTATAAACTTCATTAACTGTAGTTATAAGCATACCCATATGCTCCATGTATGGAATATTTACCACCATTTACCCCATAAATGGCCCAAATGTTAGCATATATACCATACATGGATCCTATGGGATAATAAACCATAGTTATTGGAGTTCTTAACCAACTTAGCTATCGTGGCCGGGGGCCCCACATTGGGGCCCCACATTGGGGCCCATGGATCCCAGGACAGCGACAAAGAAGCTCTGCTGGCCACTGCTACCACGACAGCGACAGCGGCAACCAACGGAACCAACGGCGCCTCTTCCGCGGCCGAGGTGAAAGGCCTGGAATTTGGTGGATGAAAATTTCCTATGGGTAGAAACTATAATGGTATATGAATGGAATTAATGGAATATCATGGAATATGAATTTCTATGGGTAGAAAACGAATGGATGAAAATCCTAACTAGTCTTTTGGTATATTAATGGAATATCATGGAATTATCTACGTTCACCAGCTTTTTTTTGTTGCAGGGCATCTAAGATAATGGTTTCGTCAAAATCAAGAGAGAATCAGAGGACTTTGATGGACTCTTGTTGGACTACCCTCTGGTAAAGTAACATAGCTATGGAAAATCACCATTTTTAATGGGTAAATCCACTATAAATGGCCATGTTCAATAGCTATGTTAAATTCAGAGGGTATATAAAACCATTGGCCTACGACTCAACCCAAATGCGGAGAGATTGGAACACGGGAACACTACCTAGCTTTATTTGGGATCATTCAGAAGATCCAGATGGAAAAAAAAAGCTGGGTCCAACTTGGAAAATCAGCGAATTTGGGTGTGGGTCAAACATAGGTATCACGGGATTCACGGATCGTAACTTGGAAAAAGTGGCTGGAACTCAAGAAATGGGATACTGAATGGTGCTCCCCAGTGATGTGAATGTTGGTATATAACCCCCATGAATACTATAGATATCTAGTTCGTTATATCTACCATAAACATCAACAAAAAACAGTTCGTTGACCTAGTTATGTTCACCATATAGATAGGTGACTTATGTTCGTTATATGTTACCATAACCCATAGTTAATTTAGCCACTGCCATATCTCAACTGAACGCTCCCTTGCGGGGGCCACCTGTGAAGTGTTGTTCGAAAATCCCATCACCCATCTATACGATATCATCGAATGATCATTAAAAGAAACAATAGCATGTTGTTTGCCATTTGTAAGCAATGGGATCATTAAAAAAACATGTTTTTTTTTTTGCCATTTGTAAGCAATAGGATCATTAAACAACCATGATTTTTCCATTTGTAAGCCATGGGAAAATCATAGCAACTGGAGTTATATATAGTTATCATTTCACCATAGTTATCTATGATTATCATAAAATATATGTAGTTGCAACTGGAGTTATATCTAGTTATCATTTAACCATAGTTATCTGTGATTATCATAATATCTGTAGTTGCAACTGGAGTTATATCTAGTTATCACTTAACCATAGTTATCTATGATTATCATAATATATGTAGTTGCAGCTGGAGTTATATCTAGTTATCATTTAACCATAGTTATTTGTGATTATCATAATATCTGTAGTTGCAACTGGAGTTATATCTAGTTATCATTTAGCCATAGTTATCTGTGATTATCATAATATCTGTAGTTGCAACTGGAGTTATATCTAGTTATCATTTAACCATAGTT